TAAAAATATAAAATTATGCTATTAAAACTGTAATTTTTACAAGGGAATCTGTATTTATGGCCTCTGTATTTATGGCCTCCTCCCTCCTCCTCCTCCTCCTCCTTCCCCTCCTCCCTCCTCCTCCTTCCTCTCCTCCTCCTCCTCCTCCTCCTCCTCCTTCCTCCTCCTCCCACTTCTAGTATATCCTCGGGGCAAAGGAACAGTTTTAATTCCTTATTTTGAGCATCCAATTTGGATCATCCACTGCTGAGATGCTTGCATAAAAACTGTGTTTATGTGTCTGTGTGTGTTTAAATCCTTTTGTTGGGATAATGCCATTATTAAAGGAAAAGGAATGATTAAGCCAAGAACCACTGATCGATGGTAAGGCAGACAAATCTCAGGACTAAGTATCTTGGTTTTTCTTTTCCTAGCTTCCACTGAAGGATCCTTTGAAAGAAGAGTTTCACCTTGAAGGATGCTTCAAACCAACATGGGGATATTTTGGACAACCTTATGCTTCCTGGTATATGGTGAGTTCACTGTTTTGTATTAGTGTCAACCCTACGAAGTAGACCGGATCAAGAAACCAACCCTCAGGAAGATTCTTCTTTACTGATACAGGCTACAGAAACTGTGTCTTACAAATCTGATTTTGCAACTCCTCTTCCATTCCCGGAAGCTAGGGAAGAGCCAACCTAAGTCTCTTCTAAATAGAAGAGAATATTTGTAGCTCAGGGGTGAACTGTGGGGCCCTTGGTGCTCTCTGAGCTTGGTGGTTTTCTTGCAGGTGTTTCATTACCCAACTAGGCACCATCATCAGTGCTAGAAGGGAATGGGGCTTGCTCTCTGTTTATATAAAAGGACAGAAGCATTGGTTAAGGTCTGGATGCCCAAAAGTGGATTGCTCTGTCAGTGTGGTTGAGATTGCCTCTTGCATATAAACAGAGAGCAAACCCCACTCTCTTCTAGCATTGATGATATTAGCTAGTCAGGTAAGAAAACATCTGCAAGAAAACAGCCAAGCTAAGCCTTTTTCCAATACTATTTCCTTTTCCAGAACTTAATGGTTCTGTCCTTTTTGTTCACAGAATGGTCCAAATATTTGCTTCAAGCCACATCTGTGACTCTTTACTTATAGTGATAGTAGAAGTATGGAACACTAAATATTCCCTTGCAGAAATACTTTCCAATGAACTTCGTCAATTGAATGCTGTTTAAAAATGCAGTCAACCAATAAACAAACCTATCAATAACTGTAATGAGAAGTGCATTGAGGCATTGTGCTGAAGAACAGATGAGTCCTCTTGTACAAATCTTACTGAAGTTCAAAGTAGATGTGTTTCATTTTGAGCCTGTACAAGGAAATTGTCAAGCGCAGGGGAAATTAGGAGATTCGGGCAGTTCAAATGAATATAAAGATTTATTGCACGCATAAGCTCTCTATAAGAATCTGGCCAACTAACAGTCAAGGGAAATGAGCAGGAGATAAGAAAGGCATTCAAGGTGGGCTGAACTTGGATCTCTTGGGCATGCAGGGACTCGTGACTTATGACACATTTGACCCCTCCCTTGGCTTCAGCCTGGTGATCTACAGAATTGCTGCAATGGTTACACTCTTACTCATCCCTCTGCAGATCACAGATATGTTATCAGTGGCTGAAGAGCTGCATGTTGATTTTAACCTTGACCCAAGTTTATGATCCATCCATTCCAAGTGTGTGGCTCCTACAGGGTTTCCATTTTGTCAATTGCATCAGAATCTGAAATTCTTTGCTCTTCAAAGTTGGTTGGCTTTCATCTCCTACAATTCAATGCTCGGTGTTGGCAAGATCCGATATCTCATTATCTTGAGGTTCTCCAACCATGAGGAATACAACTCATGCACCATGCAATTCTTCAACCTTGCTGTATTTCTAACTCAGCATTTCACACCCAGTGCTTCCTGAAGGACTATAATCACAGTGTTAATTTGATTAGAGGTAGCCGAGTTTCTCCAATCTCCAGCCAAAAAATACTTGGTACCAAAAGCCAACAAGACCCCTAAGATAATTAATATAATTAATAATGTTAATTATATAACCCCTAAGATAATTATATTGATATATAAGTAATATATAACTATTAGAATGGTAGAAAAACAAGCATAGATTCACTCAGAAAATGCACTCGCAAGTATTCTCTGGACATAGAGATAAGAATGGGCAAGAAATTTGTATAAAGTATCAGATATCTTCAGTGTCTTATTATGGTGCAGCAAATAAGGCCATTTCAGAACATTTGTGCACACTGGAATATGAAATGGGCTTTGCTTTTTAAAAATCAGGTAATTGTTAGGAACTTGGTCAGAGAGGAGAACTCTTATTAATTCCACCTTAACTTGTTCATATTTTCAGTTTTTAATGCAACCTGAGAATCACTCTGGAAGAGAGATGGACAGTTTGTAAATTTGATAAATAAAGAAATAAAAAATAAGCCATTTCAAAGTGGTGAGAGAAGCATTCCAAGAGCATAACACGAATCCTGATTGTTGAAAACAGATTCAAAACTGTTCCCATGACACATTCATCCTAGTTGGGGAAAGATTCACAGTACAACAGACTAACCTAAGCTTGCATAAACTTGCTTATGCCACCAGGCTTGAAATTTTGGACTTAGACAACTTAGAACTATGCCGCCTATGGTCTGACCTAAGCTTAGTACACTAAATTGTCTCTACAACATCCTACCTGTCAACGACTACTTCAGCTTCAACCGCAATAACACACAGGCAAACAATAGATACAAACTCAATGTTAACCACTCCAAACTCAATTGCAGAAAATATGACTTCAGCAACAGAATGGTCAATGCCTGGAACTCACTACCTGACTCTGTTGTTGCATCCTCAAACAAACCCCCAAAACTTTAACCTCAAACTGTGTACCGTGGACCTCACTCCATTTCTAAGAGGTCTGTAAGGGGGCGTGCATAAGTGCACCAGCATGCCTATTGTCCCTGTCCTATTGTTCCCCTTTATTCGTACTAATTTATTATGTATATACTTATACCTGTTTATACTTACATGTTTATATGTTAGGTTCATACTTATATTTGTTTTCTCATACATGCTTGACAAACTAAGCTAAATAAACTAAATAAATAAACCTCAGTTTAGTTTTAAGACCCAACCAATTTTATGATTTACTGTATTTGCAAATCCAGTGAATGGATTAGTTTAGGAAATGAGTGAAATGTGTTGTGTAAATGCAGAAGGCCAGAATACATTTTGTTGTTGTCGTTTTCTCAGTGGTCAAAGAGTCAGGGCCAAAATTGGTTTTAACAGTAACTACAATTGGACTAAATGCACATTTCTCTGCCAAGTTTTCTTTTCTGTCTTTTCTCTTTTAAACTGATGTTTTCTACTTTTCTTTGAAGGGAAGGTCAGCTTGCCCTCTCATCTTCTAGCAAATGGCTTTATTATTTAGTCTGGAATGCACATTTCATGGGATGATTAAATAGGAATACTTTCCAAGAGCAAATGGATCCCACCCCACCCCAATTAACAGAATCACACAGCTTTTATGGAATCCATGCTTTCTAATGTCCACAGGGATAAAAAAGATGAAAATGTGCAAATTCTTGCATTGTCTCTCCTTCATTACAAGTGCCAATTGGGTTCTGCTGGTGCAAACCTTTGTTTTAGGCAACAGTGGGTGTTTTAATGCTCACTGAACTAAGTGATATTCGCACGTTAATAGAGATAGATGACAACCACAATTTGTCTGTCTGCAATTTGTTCTGGGAAGGGCAAAGGGAGACATCCTGTGGTCCTGAAGTCCTGACTTTGCAAACCTTGGGGTCCTTCCAAACATTCATGGTGCAATTTCTTACCAGAAGGAGAAAAAAAAATACTTAAACAATCGTGTATGATAAACATTAATAACATTTTTTTTAAATGACAAAAAGAAGCAAAAATTAAATCCACTGTTGGCTCTTTGAGGTAGGCCAGTCAAGGAAACAGACACCACCGATGGACTACTGGGATTCTATTTTATTCTTGCAGATATATTAGCAGAATTTTGAAAGATTGCTAGTGTTTCCTATCTCCCTCCCCTCTTTATCAAGGAGAGTCAAGGCGGGGCAATTCTTGAGTTTCTTTCTCACTTTCTCTTCCTTTCCTGGGCCAAGCTAATGGTTGTATGTATATACAGTGCGTGTGTGTGTGTGTGTGTGTGTGTGTGTGTGGATAGATAGATAGATAGATAGATAGATAGATAGATAGATAGATAGATAGAGGATAGATAGATAGATAGATAGATAGATAGATAGATGATAGATGATAGATAGATAGATAGATGATAGATGATAGATGATAGATGATAGATGATAGATGGATGGATGGATGGATAGATAGATAGATAGATAGATAGATAGATAGATAGATAGATAGATAGATAGATAGATGATAGATGATAGATGGATGGATGGATGGATGGATGGATGGATGGATAGATAGATAGATAGATAGATAGATAGATAGATAGATAGATAGATAGAT